CGTTCAATCTCTCCCGATTCAGATTTAGGTCAAGTTTTGAGATTCTCTCGAATTAGATCTAGTTATAGATTTTGAAGCTCCTTATAGCTATTTGATCGTGTTTTTTCAACATTTTGATGTCCGTGTCTTTGCACGGGCGATGGTGATGAGGACGTTGAATCTAGACGCGTATCGTAAGCCGTTACAAATGGAGTGGAAGATATCGGCGAGTGCTTGTCATTGAATCTAATGATCGGTCGCCGATTATAGATACGTTCTTGAGGGACGAGAGCGTATTTCTAACTGCAGACTGTGCTTTGTTATTTGCTTTTTGGCGTTTGCTTTATTATGCAGTTTTTTGGGATTTGCTAAACTCGAAAGCACCACTCGAGTATTATTCTGATATATGAAATGTCATCTTTCTTTAGACAAAAAAAAAACCACTCCCGATCTAAATCTAAATCTTTGAGCATGCTCAACTTGTTTTTGGTGTCTCCATACAATAATGGTGCTAATCCTTACCAAAAAAAAAATGGTGCTAATGAAACCTAAGCGTAACCATAACTAAACATTACTTATAATGATGCGAGATTCAGTAATCCGTCGCCGTTTGTTTTGTTGTAATGTTGAGACAGTTTTTGTGGAATGATAATGTGCTTATCGCAACAGTTTGTGCTTTATTGTTCTACTTTACTTTTTGTGATTTGCATTGTTTTGAATCTTGAGATACGAATGAAATATTTATTTTCAACCAAAAAAAAAGAGGTAAATTCAATTGAAGCGGGAGTGAAAATAGCACCATTACAATGCTAATTATACTGATAGTGGTTTGCTAGATTGATGTATTAAATAGTGTGATCGATTTTATCGTGACTAATTAATTCATAAGCCCATTTCAAGACCCATCTCTTACTTTTATATATTAATTTAGCATATCGATCTTAGCATACTAACAGTACTTAGTAAATATTGCATGTGAATTCCCCATTTTAATGGGTTTTCGTTCATGTCTACATCTTGATTCTTATCAAAGTTCGTAACTTCTTAGAATGCCAATAACACAAATATGGAGATATGAAAATGCGATAGAAGATCTCAATTCGATTCTTTTAGCACGATAGTTCACTTTCGGGCGCGGATTTTTTCGTTAAGAGACACGAGCCGATAGTGGATCCTTGATAAACACAATTCGGCATTTTAAGCCAAAAATGATAAACGAGAGGAATACGGATGAGATAAGACGTGTTTGGCGAATCAGATATAAGATTAAAGCTAAGTCATTCCTAACGACTTGATTGAGGGAGGTAGTGAAAGCCATGGTCTCCGTTCGATGTCTAATGCCATTTTACGAAATATCATAACTATGATTTGTAGAATTCCATAGAAAACAGGTCTATAAATCTCGATGCAAGAAGTTCCAAACATGGTGTTTGAGCTCAAAAGAGCCAAACATGCATTGCTAAGGCCCCGGGGGGTTCGGTTGTCAATTTTTGGTAGTGGGGTAATTAACAGAACTTTGGATGTTTCTGACGTCGCAATTGATCTGGGGGCCTCAGATTGCATCGCTGTCATTTGTTTTTGCTGTCGTCGTCGTCGTGGTGGGGGATCTGATCTGGAGACGACCGAAGATTTCATCCTGTGGACGTAAATTGTTGCACGTGGAAGACATTGCTTGGTTCGCAAAGTAATTCGATGCTTTCATTTTGCTTTGAAAGGCGGGGCTCCTTTCTATTATTTCAATTTTTCACTGTTTCCATTTCTGAAAAAGAATTTCAATTTTCTTGTATTGTATCGAAATATTGTACATCACTGAACTACGGAGTTTATACATTTTTTTTTATACGTGTGGCTCTATCCACTTATTAGTTTGAGCATTTGAATTGGACATTCTAACGTAATATTAGAGCAATTGGTTCCGAGTTCAAATATTTTCAGACCCTTAATCCTATGCGTGAACTGGATTGTTATTACGACTTCATCTACTAGTTTAAACTTTTAAAACATTTGGTAGTAGTAACACACAATCTTTCTTGCGTTATTTGCGATCACCGCTTTGATGGAAATAAAATGAAATGATGACATAAATGATCTCTGAACTTTGACCAAATGTGCAATGTGGTCCCTAAACTTTCCATTTATTCAATGTGGTCCTTGAAATGTAATCCTTGAACTTTTGGTACATATTCAAACTAGTCCGTGGACTATATGAAAATTTTCAATGTTGTTAGTTCGGGATAGCATTAAACATTTTCACATAATTCATGGACTAGTTCGAACATAACGAAAAGTTCATAAACAAATATTACAAATTGAGCTAAAGTATAGGGATCACGTTGCATATTGGGTCAAAGTTTAGGAACTATTTGAGCTATTTTCCTAAATAAAATTAAGAATGTCAAAAAAGTGTTTTGAAAGTATTCCTTAACAAAACCGAGGTTCTTCCTTTTGTACATTGAAAACGTTTTCCAAATTATATGAAGTGATAGATTTACTTATAATATGTTGTGACTAGCACGAGTTACTTGGATGGAGAGCATCCAAGATTCCAATCAATAAGTTGAGTGACAATTTTGGCTGAAAAAATAAAATAAGAAAATGAACAATAAGATGCCGGGCGAAAGAGTTTACTCTTTTCCATTGAAGTGTTGGGTTCGGGCTGGGAGAAACATTCGTTACTCTTTTCCATTGAAGTGTTGGGTTCGGGCTGGGAGAAACATTCGTCATATTATAATGCGGGCAGCGCAGATCGCCAGAGAGGTGGACTAGTCGAGGTCCGCGAAATCCGACGCAAACTTAATATGATTGATGTATCATAAAAAAGAAAATAAAAAAAAATATCGAAACGAAGTCGGATTCTCTATATCTCTCTGTCTATGTATTTAGCAAAAAGCCATTATCTCATAAGCAAAGGATCTTAAGCCTGATCTGTGCATTGGCTAGTATCCTATGCAATATGCACATAAGCTGATCTGCGGAATAACTTAATTAGAAGCCCAGCTACACAGAGAATGGAGCTGATCTATTTGACGCCTTGGTCCGACCGATCAAACGCCTATTTTTAGCTATTGCACGCCCTCGCGGAGCACAAACGAGGTCCTTCGACCCTCCCCCCCCCATTCAGAACACGGGTTGAGTCGCTTGCCCTTATGAACTTCCTTAGTTCTTTTTCCAACAAGGTTCGGGTTGGAATATTTACAAGCATCCCGTGTATCCGACAAATAACTCTCGTCTTTCTCAACCGTCCGCCTCAAATGATGGACGATGGAACCGCCGTCGATGATCTCTGCAACTTTGCGGGACTGCTTCCCTGGACGATCTCGGCTTCAATGACCCGATAGTGGTGTGTTAGATGACGGTATTAACGGCGGCGGAGGGATGGGAGAGAGAATTCACAGAGTGGCTGGACATTCCAGGCCAAGTGCCCTTCCTTTGCTACTCTATCCTCAAATTATAATGAAGCAACGATAACTATGGCTGTGCAATCGGACCGGTTTTATTTGGGAACTTGATCGGACCGCCCTGAAATCTGGTCCGGTTCTAAGTTCCCGTTGGAGCAGGTCGGTCCCTAGTTTCGAGTGAAGAACCACCCAAGAACCGTACCGATCGGGCCGAATTTGAAATTGGTTTCATAAAGTCTAAAAATCCTAATTTTTCTTTTGGCATCTTTTTATCCATCTCTTATTTTTTTTTTATTCTTTCCAATCTCACTTAGACACTTTATGACTCTATCTCGCTTGTGACTCACCCTCCTCCTCACTCGCTCTCGGCTTGCCCTTGCTCGTTCCCGACTCCCCTTTGCTCCCTTGCCCCTGTTCATCTTATTTTGCTGTAAAAAAATGAAACAAAAGAAAAATAGGTTTTTAGGTATATTTAAGTGTTGATTGTTTGTTTGCAAAACAAACAAAATAGTGCTTTTTTCTTTGTCTCACATAGGAAAGTTTTGAGAAGGCATGTCACTTTATATGAGTGAGTGTCTTCTGGCTTGTTAAAGTGAAGATAATGTGGTGTGGACAAGACTCCTTAATACCCGCATGTGGGTGCACGAATAATTGCCTGATTATTAGGTGCACTTTGTGCGGTCGCAAACCTTAATTAGCACTAATTTCTGTTTATTTTATTATTTCATTTTTATTTATGAAATTCGGAATTAATAGAAATATAGTATTATTATTATTTGCTATTATTATTTTATTCCGAATTTTCATATATCTTTTTTAACTTGACTTTTGATTTTGTACCAATTCACTATACATCTGTTCGATGAAGGGAAGTCTTTGTTCAAAAGGGTGTGATTAGTGAGTCAGTTTTTGCATGGTTGAATATCAAGTCTCTTCATTCGGATTTTTAGACACTTTTTCATTCAGAAAAACAGCAGCCATTCTTTCTAATTATTTTTCTAGAGAGACTCTGGAGATATACCGAAATTGATATTCGGTATTCTCAATCGAGACTTCGTTGTATCTTGGAGGAAATTTGCCAGCGACTATTAGTAACTTTGTGGGGCAAATAATTCCTTAAAGAAAGTGATATCACGCTTCAAAGTCTGACTTCGTTGTTCATCCCTTTTGAAATTGAAGTTTCTTTTCTTCTACAATTCGAAGGAGCGTATTTTTCCAACACTAAGTGCCGGACCGAAAAAACAGAATAGGTTTTAAAGCCGGTTCCAAGGAAAACATGATATGTTCTAAGTTCGAAAATCTGAAAACCGGTTCCAACAGAGTCGGTTCTGGATTTCATATCCGGAACCTATCCACCTGTAACCGTTCACATCCTTAATAATAGCCATCTCCCCATTCACAAGACTACACCACGCAATTCATTATCGGTCCCACTCTATTCGATCATAGCCGAATAGCTATCTAATTCCATGACTGTGCCACCGCTCCATGGAACGAAGGCGAAAAGCGAGAAACCACCGTCCCCAGATTTAAAAACAAGTTGCCATCATGGTGGTGAGCCCGACTTGGAACAGTCAGCGGCGAACATGCGGTCACCGATTGAATGATCTCTCTGTCTCTCTGTCTCTCTCGTTTGGAAGTTTCAAACGTGTAGAGATGGGAAACGACGTGTTCAACTTTCGCACTCATCAATCAGGAACAAATCAAAGAACAAGAACACGATTCAAAAGCCCACGGACCCAAGTTTGAGACCAAGTTAACACGGTAATCCCATGAACGCTGGAATCGGAATATAGTCTGTATTCTAATCCCCATCCAAATGGAAAAAGAACGCCAACCCAGATTCCACTGACACCCCATTGTTCACCATCTCGAAGTCCCGAAGATTTCGTAATCTGTGTGGGCACTTTCTCTCTTTCTTGTTCTCTGACTCTGGACCCAACAAATTCTTGTTCAAACTCCGCATGGCTTTGAGACCCGTGATAAGGTTCCCGGGTCGCCACTCTCAAGATGGTACCTCCCCTTCTTTACGCGCTGGTCGTTGATTGCTTTTCTCGCCCGCGGTTTTTGGTGAAAAAAGTGAAGCCCGCCATGGCAATGGCGTGCTAGGATTTGGTGCTAGGTTTTGCTCGCTTTTGAGGAGGGGGAGGAGGGGAGGAGAGAGGGAGGGCGGGGCGGCGATGGCGAAGCCGGTGAGGTTCGAGGAGGTGGGTGCGGAGGTGCAGAAGGTTCTTGACGCGAACATGGACGAGGCGCCAGCGAGGAGGCGCGCTCGCGAGGCTTTTAAGGATGTGCAGCTCGGGATTGATCACGTTCTCTTCAAGGTAGTCGGTGTCGTCGTTGTTGTTGCCGTTGTGTTTGTCATGTCTGAACATAGATAATGTCTCTGTCTTGTTGCTTTCTCGCATTTACTGGGCGGTCGCAGAGTTAGGTGCTCCGGCATTGATTGATGTTTCAGATACTTTTCGACATCTCGTGACTGATGTTGGGATGTTTTCATACGTAGTAATTAATTCCCCTTACAAATTAGTTGTTCTCGTTGAATTCTGCTTATTTCCTGCAAGGGCAGGAAAAATGGTACAGCAATCTCGAGAATTTACTCTTTCAATGATGCTTTACTTCTAGGCATGGAATCCTAAGAAGATTCTTTCTTTTCCATCTGTTTTGTTAGTTGCTTACATTAGTTCAAGGTTGTCCGTGTTGGCCTCATGTTTGCGTCTGTTCTGTACTTTGTCGCATTGAACAGACATAAACTTCGTAAAGCATGCTACCCACATTAGTTCAACTCACGGTCCTTGCCATCGACTGAACTTAAAAGCACATTGCCGATTATCTTACTCGGCGTTGTGTGAGACGGCTGTGAACTTGCTATTCCCTGGGACTCTTGTTTGGGATTACTATTATCATTATGTTGCCATGTTTTTATTCACGGTTTTATTTGTCACCCAATTTTCTGCTACTGCGGACGTTGTAATTACAGAGTCGAGTTATTTATCAGGGGACATCTGATTTATTTGTGTTTTCTCTTGTCGCAGATGCCGCATAAAGGGTTGAAAATGGAGGAGGTAATAATAAACCTTATGGTCTATATTAGGTACTCCAGTTACATATTGGGAAGCCTTCATCTACTTGAGGATGATCATTGCGAAACTTTAGCACTCTCTGGTTGTCAGAGCCATCTTTCTGTGGTTTAGCTCCCATTATTCCTTGGAGCAACCTATTACATATACCCATCCAAGCCTATTGATTAATGCGTATCTTGTTATGCAAATGGAGAAGTGGAGTATCAGTTTGGTCCCAGACTGAAATGCGACATTGGTCTTCTTATGGTGCTCTTGCTAGTTGAACTTAGCTTGCTGGGATTCTATTTAAAGACACAAAACACACCTTAATGTACGTGCACCTACACACAGAATGCCAATTCTTATTCCTCAAGAAAATATAGGACTGAGTAAAAGGACAGACTTCTTTCTTTTACTTTTTGGCCATATTAGTTACCAGCAGAAGTGGCTCAGTTAAGGAGTTGTCTGATATTGGCTGCTCATGTTGCTTTTTATTCCAAAAAAGTTGGCTTTTATACACATCTCAGCACAAGGAAGTTAATCAGTTCATGTCCTTTGATTCAGAAATATGAGGTGAATTCTAGAGGACTGGAGATCTTCACAAAATGTTGGCTTCCAGGCACATCTCAGCTCAAAGCAGTTGTTTGCTATTGCCATGGTTACGGAGACACCTGCACCTTTTTCTTTGAAGGCATGTATTTCCTGCAAAAGGGAAGCAATTGGCTTTGTCTAATGAGTCCTCTGACACATCTAAATAAAATGCACTTTTTTGCAGGAATTGCGAGGAAATTGGCATCAGAAGGATATGGTGTGTTTGCGATGGATTACCCTGGATTAGGCCTTTCAGAAGGTCTTCACTGCTATATTCCAAGCTTTGACAGGATAGTTGATGACGTAATTGAATTTTTCTCCAAAGTTAAAGGTACGATAACAAGCCTCATCAAGTAGTCGCAACCTTTAGGTGCTTTGTTTAGAAGATAGATGATGAAAGCGTATTGCTGGCTAGATTTTTTCTGGGTGAAGCATACATGTGTCCAATGCCACTTTTGAATATGAAAAAATTCTCAAAATAGCTTCGACATGGTGTTCCAAGCCACCCTGGAGGTTGATTGCTGCCTCTGGACAGAACACTATACGGCTTTACGAAGTCATGTTTTGGAAAAGACTATTTTCTTAGTGGTAGCAAGTAGGTGAGTTTGGGTTATGTTGTGAAGGAACTTTGACCGCTAGATGGTACTGTTAGAATTTCAGACCTGATGAGGAATAAAAAATGCTTTGGTCTCTAAGTAGAGTGAAACTCTTGGTTCTTGATGAAAAGTTTCGGCTGAAGAGAGCCTTATCTGGATTGTTGACTACATGAACTCCGAGCACCCTATTGCTCTCGGGTGTATTTGAAAGAGCTGGTGAAAGGCAACATATCTGCGTATGACTGGGGCATCATATATGTCACCTATACGGCGTAGTTGTGGACTGACGAATGACGTGATCGTAATATATCACGCGGATGATCTTATTCATCAATGGGTGAAGCATCATACCAGGTTACCCATGGTCCTTTTTGAATTGTTCTTTCTCAGTTACAATCACAGCCAGTCCCTGCGGTTTTCTAGGAAATGTGTAGGACAGCCATCTTCTCCCTGAGGTTTTCTAGCAAATGTTTAAATCATGTGTCAAATGACTTCGATGTTGCCTCTTGCTGTGTCGCAATTGTCGAGCGGAAATTATTTAGCTCTTTTATCACAGAAAAAATTGCTGCGCATAATTGCATCCAAAATGCTTCTTCACTTCGATGAGCCGAAGCTGGTGTTCCTTACTCTATGATACTTTGCCCTCGTAATTTGCTGACAAAATACTATCCGACTCATTTCTAGTTGCATTTCTTTGTAGCTCCTTCGTGCCTGAGATCATTCTGCGAAGGACCATAAATGAACTTATTGGCCATCTTCAACCTGGATGCCCTTTTGGTCGATGAAAATACATGCACTTCAGCCTTCCGATGGTTTAGTAAAGAGAGATCTAACACCTTGCATGGCCTAAGAACCAGCTTCTTGAATGTGTATTCCTGTTGAAATGCTCCCCTCCCCATCAAGATCAGCCATAGAATGCTCTTGAAGAAACTTTAACTGATTTAGGTTATAAATGAATGAATAATCAAGATGCATAGCACCTGAATTTGGTTTCTTGAAGTCTGAGATTTTCTGTCCATGGATCCTGAAATGCATTCATTAGCCAGAAAGGAAGTTCATCGTGCTTTCCTAGGAAATTTTTACCTATAAATAATCCCTAACATTCTCTATATCTTGTATCACACTGGTGGTGATGGTTTCGTAAAAGAATTGCCCCTTTGCTAGGTATACATGCACAGGTTTCTTATCATTATTGTGCTTCTAAGAGCACATCATCGGAATGCATCTTTGTGCAACCTAATCTTCCTGCATATGGTCAAATTCCTTGCAGAGAAACCGGATTACCGTGCTCTTCCAAGCTTCCTCTTTGGGCATTCTATGGGTGGGGCTGTTGCCCTCAAGGTGCACCTAAAACAGCCTAATGCTTGGGATGGTGCTGTTCTTGTTGCACCTATGTGCAAAGTATGTCTCCCAAGCCAGTCTTATGTTAATTTTCTTTTTGGCTGTGGCGTTTAATGGGTAGTTAATGAAAGTCAGTTCTCTAGATTGCAGATGATATGGTCCCTCCATGGATACTCACGCAGATCCTAATTGGTGTAGCCAAGTTTTTACCAAAGCAGAAGTTAGTTCCAGAGAAGGATTTGGCTGAAGCAGCTTTTAGGGAACCAAAGAAGAGAGCACAGGTTTGTTTCTATTCAAGCATTATTTGGATGCAAGAATCGTTATGGAAAGATACACAGTCCTAGTTAATAGTGATGCTTCAGAGTTTTCTGCTGTGATGATGTTTCTCTTCAGTCCTTCAAATGCCTTGGGCACCTCCAGCCCTCCTCTTTGAGACATTTTAATCTTGTGTATTTGTTTCTGTATCAAAACATAACACAGTTTAACATGTAGCTATGATATATGACAACTTCTCTATTGCAGACTGCCTATAATGTTATTGCCTACAAACACAAACCACGCCTACAGACTGCTGTACAGCTGCTAAGGACTACTCAAGAGATAGAGCGCCGGTTGCAAGAGGTATCTCCATGCCATGACTCCTAATTGATTCAGTCATTTAAATCAGATGCATCTTGTGTCTATGAAACTTGGGTTCTCCAAGAAGCATGTATTGGGTCATTTTCAACCTCTGTCAGACAGGATACGCTTTTATACTTCTAGATACTAGTTATGTACTCCAGGATCTCTGAAAATTTGAGTTACACACTTGAGGATACTCTGAATATGTGAAATTTCCATGAAGACATTTTATTAAATACTCAGCTATGTTTTTTTTTTTTGATCGAAAAATACTCAGCTATGTTTAGATGGTACTTTCACTAAATCTTGAGTTTATAAAACTTGAAGAAATATCCACTTGAAGAAAAATATTTTCAGTTTATATTATATGAAAGTTTCATGGTTCGATTTTCGGACTTAAACTAACTGGAAGGGATTGAGATGACACTAAGCTTTTTTGGAGTGAAGTCATCACTGTTACAGTTATCTCTGTGCTTGTATTAGTATCTGCATGTGTATTGAAGTAAGAATAAGTCATATGATCTTGAGCTCACATTTGATTTTGTTTTTTTTTTTTCTATCTTTGTACTCTAGCAACAACTTGATGCATATCCAGTGATGGATGCTATAACGTTGATAAGAATCACTCTTTTCTGATCACTCCAGTATAGTGGGATCTAGAGCTGCTTGAGGCTTTTCCGTGCTACTCTTTTTTGTACATTATAAACCTTGTTTATGCATGATAGCATGGGTGTTTGCATTGTAATTTGTGAGTTCTGATTTTTCTTGGTTTTCTATGGACAAATATAGTCCTGCTTTCGCCTTGGCTCTTGATATAATTATATGTAGGCCTACCAGGTTAGGTTAAAGACTGTCTCAGTTTGAGTGATTGACAAGAATTTACTGAATCTAACTTACAATTATCATGCTGGAACTTGCTAGGTCTCGCTGCCGCTTCTGATTCTGCACGGAGAGGCTGATAGAGTAACTGATCCATCGGTGAGCAAGGCCCTGAACGAGAAGGCTAGCAGTAAGGACAAGAAGCTCATCATGTATCCTGATGCTTATCATGCTCTTCTCGAGGGTGAACCAGATGAAACGATTCTTCGTGTTTTCGGTGATATCATCTCCTGGCTCGATGAGCACAGCTTGAAAAGCACCGCGTGATGGCGGACTTGTATGCTATGTAACGACAAATCCACATTGATTTATTGAGGTATCTAATAATACTCGTGTCCCAGAGTAAAACTTTGGGTGTCAATCCACCCAACTTCTGCCGTCTGGTGACGGAGAAATAAGTGAATATTTTGTACGAAGTTCGGTGCTTTGACGATGACGCACTTGCTAGCTGTACAGATGATTCGTATTGACTAATGAATAAAAGTATATAACTTCACTAATTATTTTGAAACAAACAATGTAGTCAACAGGAGGATACTCAGCCTGGCATAAGTTGAACGGAAGTAAGTACTAAGCACGCTGCAGAACCTTTCACAACGAGAGATTAGAAGGTTTTCTCAAAGGCCTTGGGGTTGCATTATCCTAAAGCCCTAGTTGTAAAGCGTTACTCTAAATGTACGCAACACTAGCCTCTCATGAAGTGAAGAAACCTGGGAACAAAGCCCTATACGGGCGAGGCTCTTGCACTCGTGGCGACGGAAGATCTCAGCCGTCCAACAGCTCAGTCGCATCCATCAATCGGGTTCCGACAAGATTTTGGCCCTTCACTGAAGGATTGCAATCAGCTTAAGAGAAAACTGTGAAAGGGGTCGCTTTCGATGACCGTGACCCATTAGAGCGCCTAAAATATTCCTCTTTTTTAGGCAAGTTGGATTGTAATCTTCCGAAAAAAACAGCAAACACTTGAAGAATCGTACGAATCCCGTTTAGATGCACGTAATCCGACGTGTGGACACATGGGTGGTCGGAGAAAACCTACTAAGCGAGGCAAAACAAGAAAGGAAGAAAGAAGACAACCTAATACAGGGATCTATCTTATACGTCCAGCCAGTGGCAATTTCAGCATACTCGCTCAAAAGCTTTGGGGAGATGTCATTAATGGGACTCGACCTACATGTTGAGCGCACGTGGGCAGCTCTGCTTCCGTTTTTCTGGTGCTTCAACTCAGTGCGCTCCTCCTGGTGACTTTCTTCGTACAAGAAAGCAAAGCACCTTTTTCTGTTTCGCACTATTTTCTCTCTGTCTCTCACTCTCGTCCTTTGAGCTGCGGGTCTTCGCTTGCCCAACTCGAAATAGAAAATACCCACTTCACTCTCTCTCTCTCTCTCTCTCTCTCTCTTTTCGGAGGCTCAAGCTGTAATTCGTTATAAAAGCATTAAGCGGATGAAGAAGGCGTTATCGGGTTTGGACATCTCGTTCTTGCTGCAAAAATGGGCTTCTCTTCTTGCTTGTGCCATGCTCACTTCCCTCCACTCCAGGTATCAATCCGATCCTTTTTTTCTCTGTTCTCGTTTCTTGAAGTGCCCTTTTTTTTCTTGTGATTCCCAGTTTGAGCTCCGTTTTCGTGTTGTTTGGTTTCTTTCCACGTTCCGGATTTTGAATGTTCCGGGCGTTCTTGAAAGGCCCTTTGCTCGAACCGTTCTGTGTTTGATTGTTGATTATGTATTTGCGGGTGTCCCGTTGGGAAACACTAAAATGAAATGACAAAAAGAAAGAAAGTGTTCGAATTTTAGTCTGCTTCATTGAGGGTAATTTCGTTGGAAATGAAGTACGTGTTTCTTGTTGCTTCGATTCGTTCAGCAGATGATAAAAATAATGCAGTAAGTCAGCATTTCCATTCTCTGTTGAGCATTTCACATGTCCTGAAAATTGGTCATATACATCCTCAACTTACTTGCAATCTACCTCTCTTGTTTTTGTAATGTCCTGTGTGCTTATCTGTAACTCTCCGTTACTCTGTACCTCTGGGTGATTTCTTGTGCTTGATTTGGCAAAGTTTCAAGTGTTGGTACTGTCATGGGATTCAAGCAGGCCGCTTGAATGTCGTGTTACCAAAAGCTATTCCTTTGCTTTAATGTGGACCTCTGTTGGGAGAATCACAATCCCAAACGCACAGCGTAATTGATCAATCGATTAGTTGCTCCTGTTAGTTGCGTATTGTTCTTTCCTCTCTTACACCTCTAATATCCCTCTGGAAGTAAAGAGTTATGCGGCCGTGTCTGGTGTATTGTACAAGGATGGGCTATGACCTGTCAATTGTAGCAGATTGGAATATAATGCCTTCCTACCTGCAATGGCTCAATTTCATTTATCATATTTTTTGGTGCATGCTTATTGACGCTGTGTTACTAAAGTATATGACTAGTTAAGTCGATAAGAGCCTTTAAAAACATGGCATAGACGGTTTTGTGAAACTTATCGTGATATGAAACACATAAAATCGGTGTCGATTTTTCCCCATTTGTAGGTTAGCTGAAAGGGGATTTTAGGATGCAGGGCACAATTCGGATGAACTGGAAAGTTTATAAACATCGACACTAAGATTACCTATCATCATTCTTCTAGATAAGTTGGAATATTGCATCGTTTTCAGTTCATGTTTCTCATAATAGATAAGTCCGATAATGGAAGTATGAGGTTACAGCAGGACCATAAACAAAACGATTATCTGTTTTGAAAACTGAAATAATGATTTAAATCCCTCAGTTCCATGAAGAACTTCGTTCACAATTTAGATGGACCTTGTCTGGGGCTGAGAGCTTTCTTACAATTTCAACTTCATTTGGACAGATTGGCAGTTCAAGATTGATAAAAAACGCTTCAGATCGAAATTCTATCGGAGCACGTCAAAGATCCTCATTTCCTCTGAAAGGTAGTAACACTGAGCTTTTAGGCCTACAGATTCCGAGGGCAGGAGACAACATACGCAGGGAGTGGAGTTTTGCCCAAGGATCAAGAATTGTTACAATACCATACTCAGCAAGAGTCATCCGAAACCAGAAAGCCCTTGGATTACATGCTTCTTGTAAGTTTCGCAAAACTTGACGCTTTCTCGTTACAATACCGTACTCATCAATTCACCATACACGTGTCTTGTTGGATGGATAAAATTGATTTTGCTTCCCTGTGACGAGTTAATTTAACCTTTCAGTTGTCGTGGCTCCACACGACACACAATCTGAGACAAAAATGTGATTATTTCATCTGTCAATCTTTAATTTGTTAAGGAAAGTTAGGTTTCTGAGAAAGTAGAACAGGATTGAATGGTTCAATGTGCAAGTATGGTGAATTGATGGAGTAGATCTTTTGATACTCCTAGAGCAGTCAATCACAACCATCAATCCTAGAAAAAGATAACAGTAGGACCCACAAAAAAATCAAAACAGACGGTCGAGATTACATCTGGAGTAAAGAAAAAAATTCATTCTGGGAGTACCTAAAATTTTTCACACTACCTTTAGCGCCATATCTCAAACTATTAACCCGTTGCAGGGTTGACAACATCTCAAATTGCTAGCAGTGCTTTCACTTGGGGAACTGTAGCTGTTCTCCCTTTCTACACTCTCATGGTTGTGGCTCCTAAGGCTGAACTGGTATTTTCCCTCCTCCCTCTCTTCTTTTTTTAACTGTTGATTTGCATAGTCCTTTAAATACTTAATATCTGATGTCGGTGCATTGTTTTAAGGTTACTGCAAATTCTATGGTTCTATGTAGCGAGTTCATCTGATGACATCAATTTTAGAAATGCTCTCATGAGGGGGGAATATGTCTCTTTTTTACTTATTAGCCGTTATCCAACTTGCAGTCTTACTGCTTGCATGTTAGTCGGTTGAACTTAAAATTGCTTGATGGATTCACTTAAGTGGGTTATGCAGATTGTTTGCTATTGTCTGCTGCGTCAAGATAAAAACCTGTGGTGAATTTTTATTTTGGACAATTCTTGCTTGCTGTACATGTTGTGCGAACCAGAGGGTCCAAATCTTCTGTTTTCTCCATGTAATCAAGCTTGAATTTTGATGTTTTCAATTGGCCCGATGATATTAATTTGTGATACAAGGTTATTATATTTGAGCAAAATGCAGACTAAGAAATCCATGAAGACCGGTGTACCATTTATTGTGCTCGGGCTTTTCTATGCATACTTATTATACCTCTCCTGGACACCTGACACGCTAAAGGCGATGTTTTCAAGCAAATATTACTTGCCAGAGGTGTGTGTTCGATTAGAAGAAGCTGGTTCTATAATTTTGTGCTCTTTGTACATTTGATTCCAATCCATCTATCGTTTTTCTCAGACAACTATCGTGCTATTTTATGAGTCTTCCGATCTCGATGTTGTTTGTGAATTGTGCAGCTTCCTGGGATTGCAAAGTTGTTCACAAATGAAATGACTGTAGCTTCTGGATGGATTCACTTACTGGCCGTAGATCTCTTCGCTGCAAGGTCTCTCTCTCTCTCTCTCTCTCTCTCTCTCTCTCTCACATGCACGCACGCACAATATTGACAGTTGCATCGTACCAAATGCAGGCAGGTCTTCCAGGATGGATTGGAAAACCAAATCGAGACACGGCATTCAGTCTCTCTTTGCTTGCTGTTCTGTCCCATTGGAATCGCCACTCATTTCGTCACAAAAGCACTGACCAGTGGAAACAAATATGATATAAAGCATTAACGGAATAACTTCATTTGGTGAATCATTGAAATTCCATGTACATTCTCTTTGCCAACACTATCATTCATGTTGTTTCCTTCATCGATATATTATCCATCATTGCCTACCCATTTCTGGATGTAGAGCATTGAGGTGAGTGTGGATGAAGTTAAGGATTTCTTCCTGTCACTGTACCCTGAACTTCCTCCAGACCTCCTCCTTGACCAGGACAATGAGGTCGAGCATGTCTGGCGAGGTTGAGGTGCCGATGATTATGAAGATGTTCGCAGGTTTTGTGGAAACTGTTGCCCCTCCCACTCTAACCTTTAGGGCCTGCTTGTTCAACCAAAGTCGCGGTTGCGACTCCTGAATTTATGGTGTTAAAAGACCCGAGCTTGTGCTTCTTTTGCCTATTGGCCGCGAGTTCTTCTCTCGTGTGCGAACCACGAGTAAAGGGGTTAGATTCGCTCGGTGCGGAAACTACAGTGACTTTGAAAAGACAAAACACATAGCTTTTCTAGATAAGCAGGTTTTGCGTAGAATTCGAGGCCCAAGGTGGCGAGCAATGGCGTACTTGATAAAAGGAAAACAAAAAGAATCCTAATTCAACCTTTCCGTGTACTCTTGCGGCCTTGCCGCTTCATCCTCGCAAAGTCTGGCGAGCTCTGCAGCTGAGAATGCTACTGAAAGGGCCACGGCTGGTAGCCAAAGTTAAGCCATAATTTTCGTACAGCGTTCACTTAAATGCCATAACTTTTTTTTGGCTCACTTAAGTATCACTTCCGACAAAAAGTGATCACTTGAGTGCCGTCAGCCATTTGACAGCCGGAAAATCTGACGTGGACACCGGTCGTCTTATGTGGCTTCATCGAAGCTGACGTGGATGATATTTTTATTTTTTTTGAATTTTTCCTTTTTTTTTGCAAATTTTTTTTTCAATGCTGGCGAGGGCCACTGGCGATCCTCGCCGGCTGCGAAGGCCTCGCCCAGATTGGGCGACGGCCGCCTTGCCCTCAGTCGCGAAGGCCGTCGTCAGATCTGGGCGACAGCGAGCGAGGCGGCCTCGCCAGATCTGGTGATGGCCTTCGCCGCCTCGCTTGCGACCGCGAAGGCCCTGGGCGAGGCGGCGAAGGCCGTCGCCAAATCTAGGCGGCCGGGAGTGAGGTGGCCTCGCAAGATCTGGCGACGGCCTTCGCCGCCTCACCCGCGACCAGTGAGGCCGCGATGGCTTGGCCAAGGGCCTTCGCGGCCGGCGAAGGCTCTCGCCAGATCTGGCGAGGCTGCCTCGCTTGCGGCTGCCCAGATCTGGCGACGGCCTTTGCGGCCTCGCCCAAGGCCTTCGCGGTCGAGGGTAAGGCGGTCGTCGCCCAATCTGAGCGAGGCCTTTGCAGCCGGCGAGGGTTCCCAGTGACCCTCGTCGGCATTGAAAATAAAAAAAAGAAAAGAAAAATTCAAAAAAATATTAAAAAAATCCACGTCGGATGGAAAATTAATAAAAAAATCCACGCAAGATGGTTTGCTGGAAATGACACTCAAATGATCTATTTTCGCCGGAAGTGGCACTCAAGTGATCTTTTTTTTGTCGAAAGTGACACTTAAGTGAGCGAAAAAAAAGTTATGGTACTCAAGTGAACGCCGTACAAAAGTTATGGCACTCCTAGTATCCTTATCCCAAAGTTAAGGTCACTTCTGCGGCTGTCTTAAACTTCCTGGTCATCGGCGGCAATTTCAAAGCTATCAAGAACACCGGCTGTCTCCTTGAAGCATAAGAAAGATGATGAAGTCACTTTCATATGCGATGCGGGGAGTGGATTATGTTTTGGTTCTGCGTTGACGTAAGTTTGGTTCGGTTCTTTAATCCAGGAAACCAGCTTGAAATCGAATAATGCTGTGCATTTCATGCATTTGAAAGGAACCAAAAATGGTACATTCCCGTTGAGTGCGAGAATCACCTGTCCATACGCTCCGGCACTCGTGTAAACCGTTCTGCTCACCATCTCCGGAATGTCTCCGGTGAGTTTAAGGCAAAAAAAAAAACTGTCCCAAAAAATCGTAAATCTATTGTATTATTGTCAATTCGATCATAAATTTTCCAATTTGGTCAATGTAATCATAAATCTTTTGACAATTTTTCAATGTAGTTCGTGCGACCAAGTTTGATCGGAATCTGCTGACATGACTGTCCAGTTGGCACCGGTTGTCTTACGTGATATGGTCAATGGCTGACGTGGACAAAATGAATCAAAACGACTCGTTTTGCAATCATTTTAAAATTTTCTTATTTTTGTCCTTGTCTCTCCTTTCATTTCATTTATTTTCTTTTTAACTCCACCGTTGATCTTCTTCGCCAGCCACGCTCTCGGTGGCCACGGGCAAGGGTTGCGGTCTTCGCTGGCGAATGTGAAATGCACCTGAAAGAAGAGCTCGCATAGATTTCACAGAACCAGTAGTTGTGTTGTGTGCACTCTCGCAAAGTTAAAATCTCTGATGAACTATTTCATGGACGTTCTTTTTGATCGATCAAGCTTTGTCAGTTTCAGTTTTAGCTTCTTCCTCTCTCACTCGCCCAAGCCCTCCACGGCAGTGGCCACAGGCAAGGTTGCGACCTCACTTGTGGTCGGCAACCGGCGAAGGGAAAAAGATGAATAGGAAAAACAAGAAGAGAGAAGAGAGAAAGAAAAGAAAAGAAAAGGCCGCGTTAGCGATTTCCTGTCATAATTGGCTAAATAGACCGCATTGGAAAATTGTTAAAGGTTTAGGACTACATTAGCCAAATTGAAAAGTTTAGCAATGATTGTGCAACTGTACAATAAGTTCATGACTTTAAAATGAAGTATGGATGACATATTGTGACATTTTCGCAGCTGAAAATGCACAGATATATAGTTAATATGCTTAGCAGTGAACTTTTTTTCGAGATAATCAACCACGTAAGTCATATAAGATGACATTGGCATTCTTTTAATGTTGTAATCAGATGATATTCTAAACTAGAATTCACATATCAGTCTAAATTTTGCTCAAATATTCATGAAGCTAGGTAATCAAGTAGATATTGTAGGATTTTCAAAGTAAATAATTTAACCTGAGTTCACTAAGGAGGTCAATTATGCCTATTAATTGCTAAAGACAGGAACCAAATAAATATCTATAAAAACTCGATTTGGTTAAACTGAAATTCTTCCTCATTAATTATGCTTATCAATTGTCAAAGATAAAATATTGATAAAAAAACTTGATTTGGTTAAACTTAATTCTTAATCTAAGTATGTAATTACTTACTTCATTCATGGGAGGTTGCGGAACCTTTGACACAATAAGAAGGCAGGTCCTACCCACTGAAGTAAGTTCTTGCGTACATCTAAAGGAAAATCAATAATATCAAATTAATTTCAATTATTGAATAAACGGATGGCTTAAAATGGCTTGAAAAAAATAATAATTCAATTGATAGTCCTTTTTCAAATTTGTTGGTGTAGGCTACATTATATATATGTCTCGTATTCTTTCGAAAGAAAAAGTATTTTATGCATACGGTCATATAGTTACAATTGCACAATCGATCAATCGCTTTGATCGCATGATATCATCTTTGTAAATAAATGCGTTTGAAAGATGTTGGGTTTGCTTTAAATTATTTTCAAATATAACATATGGTATATTTCCCACGAAAATTACTTGGGTAGGAGGGACCATTTTTTGATTAATTCGTAATTATTATGGTAAGCTCAACCCAAAAAAAAAAAGAAAAGACAGAGAGAGAAAAAGAGAAAAATCAAATATTATGGGAATCGAATCTACACCGTCCATCACGAGAGCTAGGGTTACACTGGCTCCTCTTTGCTTTATAAACCTTCTTCTCCATTTCGACCTCCCTCTCTCCTCCGTTAGGCACCTCGAGCGGGCTTCCTTCGAGCTTTTCTGCCTTTGACGTGCCGACTCTCGGTGCAACCTTCTTGAACGTGAGTACATCCGAATCGACTTCTTTCTTCCTAGCAACTTGGTGTTGTTACTAATTCATCTGTTGTCTTTAGAATAATCGATTCGTGCAATGCATTCTTCCTCCTTTCACGTGTTTGTGTTGGTCGAGCTGAGCGGTTTTCGTTTGATTGACTTAATGGGAAAGTGGTCATTGATGTGTTTGAGGTTCACCCTTTTGTTTTCTCGTGTTTTGTTGTGGAAAGATTCGAACTTTCCTCGGTAAACCAGCCTCATTCCGTAAATTTGAGTCTTCTGGTGCTTCGTGTATGCTGGGTTACTTGACGTGTTCTCAATTGTCATCTGGGATGATGATGATTTAGAGTCTTGGGGTAGTTAAGAGAACTCTGGAGATTTAAAAGTATTGTGCCGCAAAAAAAATTCGATTTTTTGCGAGGTTTTGTTCTTTCTATTAGTTCCGTCTGTAATTGTAGACAGTTTTTCACAGTTTTTGCTGTTGGTTATACCCTTAATGGCATGTATATCAATTTGATGTGCAGTGTGAAGCGATTGAGTTACTTAGCATGTGCCAAAAGAAATTCGACAAAATTATATCTTTTTTCTGATCTGCCAGATGACAATGTCCCTTGATATGCATTTCTGATAACTTCAGTTGGTCGTAGATGACACTGATTATGTTGTTGTTAATATCTGACTGCTTTGGATGGAAATAGATCTGTCAAGATGTACACCTCCAGGAGGAAGATCCATAAGGACAAGGATGTTGAGCCCTCCGAATTCGAGGAGATGGTCGCACAGGTCAGTGACGGGCAGATGTTTGTCACTTTCTCTTGTGTTCTGATGTTGCTTTATGTGATTTTGAAGTCGATTTAATGTTGTTGCAGACATTCTTCGACTTGGAGAACACCAACCAGGAGCTGAAAAGTGAATTGAAAGATCTTTTCATTAATTCTGCAGTGTATGTCTATCACTACCTGGCTTTCAGAAACAATGCTTTTAAATCTGTTGGTTTTATATGTGTGTCATTGATCTATCTCAATTTCATTATATTGTCTCTAGTGAAATGGACATTGCTGGGAACCGCAAGGCCGTTGTCATCTTCGTCCCCTTCAGACTGAGGAAAGCTTTCCGCAAGATTCACCTGCGTCTTGTTAGGGAGCTGGAGAAGAAATTCAGTGGCAAGGTGCGTGTTATTTGAAAGGAATTACTGTACTCAGGCAGCGTGTGGATTGAAATTTTGTTTGACTTAGGTGAAAAATAAGGTAGCATCAGTGCTTCCAGCTGTTTGCAACAACTCAGCAAGCACGTGTCATTGTTTTTTATTTCTAGAAAATGACATGTGTATGTGCTAGAAATGATGATGTGTCTCAGTCATTGGTTATGGTAAGGTGAGAATGCTGTTGATAGGGAAAGTTTATACTTCTGATTGTTATGAGATTGGGGAATTTTCATCTTTCAGTATCTTGCCGTAAAAAGGGAGCATTCCTTTCATTTGATGCGGGAGTCCATGTGGGAGATGTCGTTTTTGTGATTTTATATTACAATTGCTAAGCCTATTGTGTTTTGAGCAATTGTGTTAATATCGGGAATTCTAGTATTGGATCCTAAAGTAAAACTACATTTGCATGAGATGTCAAAGGGTAGTGAGTTGTGATGATTGCTTGAAGTTCATGCTAGTTTAGGGCCTGAAATTGGCTGCATGCATTGAAGTCGTCCTTATTTTTGTAGGATGTAGTCCTTGTTGCCTCCCGCAGAATAGTGCGGCCACCAAAGAAAGGCTCTGCTGCTCAGAGACCCCGTACCCGCACCTTAACGGCTGTTCATGATGCTATGCTGGAGGATGTGGTGTATCCGGCCGAGATTGTTGGAAAACGTGTCAGATACCACCTCGATGGATCGAAAATCATGAAGGTCCTTTCCACAAATCTGTTGAATAATGCAACCGCAAGAAAACTCTTGTTATATTTTTATTAGAGACTTGGAGCTGGTCTGACTTATGGCTGTTACATTTGTCCAGATTTTCTTGGATCCCAAGGAGCGCAACAACACCGAGAACAAATTGGATACCTTTGGAGGAGTTTACAGGAAACTTACAGGAAAAGATGTAGTGTTCGAATATCCGATTACAGAGGCTTGATGAGCTTATCTTTGTGGAACTGATGGTTTTTTTGAGAGTTTAGCTTGCATTGAATAGGGTCATTTGAAATTTTGACTGCTTAATATTTGATTCTGTATCCTACATTGGAGAAATGAAGCTTGGGTTTGGTACTTCTCATAAAATTTCTCTCTTCCTAAGTTACTTTTAAATTACTGAAGTTCTCTTACTAATCTAGTCTCCTGAAGAATGATGATATCATAATGTCGATGAATGTATTCTGATTGGAGAAATAGCCTGACGAAGCGGCTTCTCGAAATTTAGCCATCTTTTGTTGTCTTGTTTCAAATATGTTCCTTTTGACTTTTGGACTCCATTTTAAGCTGATCTCACTTTCGGCTAAGCAGAAAAACAGAGGAAGGAAAAGGGATGGTTCGAGCAGTGCGGCGGATGCAAGATATCTGATTCTTAATTTCTCAAACGGAACACTTTGTGCAATCTCTGAATCCGTCCAAAGATACCAGTGTTTATACTTGAGTAGCGTCTTATATCGTGGCCGGGTTTGTAGAACGGTTTGACTGCGTGTTTGTTGTGAGCGTACCGGTTCGTGTTCCTCCAAACTAAACTACTTGAATGGATCGATCAACTGGGTTTCGGCTGACACTTTGATCTAATTCATGAGACTTTCAAAGGGAATTGGATTCAAGATATGAAACAACCAAAAAGGAAACAAACCTGCCGACGATTCCATCGGATCGGGGATGTAAACGTCCTACATCAAACACAATGTAGAAGACAGAAAAGAGTGTTTTAACTAATCCAAATACATCATCGATCACACTTCAAGAACACTACAGAAAAATATGGAACTCTCTACATTCCTCTTCAATTTATTCTTCAAAGGATCAAATATCATATCCGTGCAAAAATGCCAAATAGAACGATCCTCGTAATTATTGCGACTGGATCCAAACCTCAAACAGAGTACACTTCCTTGACTAGATGGAACTGTGGAAGGTACAGGGTAGTGATAAACCGGATTTTGCTCTGGAACTCTAAGCTGAGGAGGTTGCAGCAAGAGCTTCTCTTTGCCTGAGATCAGAGAGTCTACAACTACTTCATGAAGAACTATGTTATAATTCCCCATAAGACTCGCTTGATCTCAAGGTTCATGCGTATACATGATAAAAATGAATGATTTACATACATAACGGAGATACCGACAGAGGGCATAACAAAATCTTTTGTCCTACACCTGATTTAAATCTGAGATTTCTTGCCGTTTTCCAACTCACAAGACTCGAGAAACCTGTCATTAACCCCTGCTCTATACAATTGCAACTCGGTCACAGATGTCACACGAATTTCCACATTCGCAGGTACGAATAAAACATTGCCTTCAGCAACTAAATCTTGCTTCATGGACCCCGCATGTATCGTTCCTGTACCGTTGGTCACAAGAAAAATGGAAGGACCCAGAACTGCAGAAAAGACGGTTGATGTGCCCTTGGGTAGTACACAGTGGTCAACCTCAAATTCATCAAACGGGGGAATGTATCTCGTTATGTATGCATTCAGAGGTACTCCTTTCAGGATGTCGGGAAAGCCCTGCAAAAGAGATTTCATTACCATGTTTTTTTGGGTAAAGGATTTCATTACCATGTGAACCTTGCTAAGATAGAAGATGCATCATCCTTTGACCAGAAAGGCATCTCATAGGTACAATTGAACCATTCTTCACTGAAGAGAACTCAAGAAAGAAAAAACAAACCCCAACATTTCACAGTAAGAAATACTAACAGTAAATCCAGTAAAAAGCGAATCACAGAATCTACAAACATCCCTAACAATACGATGTCCATGCACTACTAATTGTAGATGAAAAAAAAATTTTGATCCCTTTTGTTCTGATTTAAGGGCAGAGCAAAATTCTTCTGGCAGATCTCTTTGAAATTAGGAACGAAGAAAATAATAAAAATGATGTATTATCTCTTAACACTTATGCATTAAGCACGGTAAGCAAGAGCATCTCATTGGCAAAGAGGATAGAAAGGACTTGACACCTGCTTGTAAGTGAGCATGGAGCAAAGAGTCTGGATATCCTTGCTCTTAGGAGTGAGGCCAGCTCGCACAACATTGTCAGATGTTGCCATGCACTCAATACACTCACCAGATACATATGCATGGGGTTCGTTTGCCCCCAGATACAATGCCTCGCCCGGATTAAGCCTCACATAGTTGAGAAAGAATGCTGAAATAACCCCCACATCAGCTGGATATTGCTTTTCTAGCCGCAGCACCAGCTGTTCCTTATCTGTCAATGGTCTCGCCTAATGTAAACAAAAGAAAATCAAGAACAGTCAGCAATTATTACCTACAGGAACTTTGAAAACAAGGAGAAGAGGAGAGTGAAAAAGGAAAAAAAAAAAAGCACTTGCAGCATTCAGTAGGAAACCGGACATCTTGCCGTGAATTTGTGATAGTACTTAAAAACATAAATATACAAACTATTATTGGTCGCAGATACTTTAGTCCAAAAGAGTGTCAGAACGTCTCAATGCTCTAGTGCCAAACTATCATGGTAGCAATTACCTTCTGACACTCAACTGAGAATGGATACACCCAACTACACTGACATGTGCAAGGAACAGGTCACGGTGAAGTGAAGATTTATAATCATAGGACAGTGTGCATTGGACAATACAACTCTCCTCTCAAGATGTGCCCGCCTCCAACTTCTGCCATGAAGCCAGTTTCCATACATCATATTATCAAAGGTCATGTTATTTTGGGAACCTAGTGTCGAGTATTCTGCAACTAGAAAAGGAAGTACGATACACTCAATTCTTAGAAGGCCTCCAATAGCCGAAAGGTAAGAATCACAGTTTTGGAATTGCTGACTGAAACACACTGACTAGATCCCAAAAGAAATTCACTGACAAACAAGGAATTGAGTGCTCCCACTCTCTACCATTTCCAAACTATCTAATTGATCTGACTACTGTTTCACAACTAAATGATTACTTCGTAAAAAACGCTGAAGGATTGTAATTGAGGAACAGAATATGCCGAACTTCTGGAATTACCTGACTCTCCAACTCCAAACGAATTTTTATCTGGGAAACCGACAAAGCAACTATATCTGCACTAGCTGACATGAGTTTGGTAAAAATCGATTGCAGAAGAGACTTGGCTTTCTCCTCTTCTTGTTCATCCAGTCTAATGAATTTTTCAACATCTGTACTGCCAACTACTTCCACAATCTCTGGAACATCACGCAGCACTTGTTTAAGTTCCTGCACAGAACATAGCAGGTTCATCCATGTGAATGAAAGAGGAACTCTATCCGACCAACGCTCAGCATGCTATAGTCACCAAAAATCAAAACCGCCCATATAAAATACCATGACAGATATCAAAGCGTATTTATTGCTCCAATAAGAGAAACATGTAAATCTAGCACACATTACTAGGTCAACCTATCGTCCTTTTTCATTTACCTGTTCTGCTGGTCCAAAGGCACGCTGAGAATGTGAACTAAGCTATTCACTTTTCTACTATTAGTTCTGACAAGAATCACCGGAACTCTATTAAATCTACCAGGATCTGCATTGTCCAATTATCTTTTTATACAAATTTGTCCTGTTTACTTTTTCTTGCATAAAGAAGGGGTAGGAAGGGAGCAAAGGGCATCAAACCATATGTCCAACAGTGGTTTTTCAAGAAAAAATATCAAATGGGAAAAATGAATACAAAAACATAATTCATATGATTTTGGCCAAGATCAAGAACCCAACTATCCATTTCCCCCCAAACCATACTGTATCACTCAAACACTAGGCCATGTTTATTTGTTCGCCTCCCTCGAACTTTCATGGAGCTCGACTAGGGCATGTTACACTACAAGTGTATAGTGGCACGTATAAAGATGACCCATCAGTTCAGCTATCCAAGAAGATGGAGAAAATTTCAGGAGGAGGATATCCAATGACAGTACTCAACCATTTACTCGAGAAAACTCTCATCAACAAAACGAATTGCAACAAACACCTAACCTACATTGTCCAAGCAACCCAAGGCAAAATATCATATGGCGCAAATGATCCTGAAAGACGCAAACTCTGACGAAACTCTAAAGTGACGGTACCTCAATGCTAATGAACCACATGAATTTGTCTCGATGATCAGAGAAAAGCAAAATCCGAAAACACTACCTCCATGCTAATGAATCCACAGATGGCCTCGAACTTGGTTATGGCCAAAGCCATCTCGGGCTTGTGATTAGCATCCTTGTAAACATTCGGATGTGCCTTGTGCAAAGCCCCCGCCAATTCCTTATCTGGGTGAGCCTGTATTGACAATGGTTTTGCGATTGAAAGCACCTAACACACGCCCAAAAACACCAAACACCAAAGGAGTTAAAAAACAAACCCGAGTTTTCACTTTGAGGGACTCGTGCAATTCAAAGTCCAATCACAATTCACGAAAAGAAGAACAGACCAGAGGACCAATATAAACTGCATTTCAATCTCAGGATCTCCAACCATTAAACTCAAATTCCGCCAAAAAACAGAGGAGAGAAAAAAAAGAAGGAAAGACCACCACCGTCACACGTGTCTAAAAGCACGAACACTTACTAATCACCGGCTGAGAAGCTCAGAACCAACCACCCTTCATCGCCGACACTCCCACAAATTAAATAAAAAAAACACACACAAATTGAGCCTTTGCAACCCTCGATCGGCAAAGCCCGGGTGATCAAAACCATACCTTGAACAAGAAAGGGAGATCACAGCCCCACTGGGCCACGACCTTATCGCCAAGAACATCGGGATTGCTCGAAATCCAAGCCTTCAGAGTGACGTCCCGAGAGATATCGGGGCCCCCATTGTCGCAACCGGCGGGCAACGGGAAGGAAGGGCCGGACTCGTGGGTGCCCATCCAGAACTCGGCGTAGGGCCTCTGGACGTCGGCCTCGGCGCCGGAATTGAGCGCGAACAGTTTGGCGACCCGGGATTCCATCCCGCTGCGACCCCAATCGTAGTTCTGGACGGAGCATCGGAGCCGCTTCAGTTTCGGGTACCGAGACTCCATCCGTCACCGCGCCTGCCTCGTACCCAAGACGCCAAGAACCAAGAAGAAGAAGAAGAAGAAGGAAACGAGATGGGCAGAGAGAGACAGAGAGAGACAGAGAGCAAAGGTCAGGAGGAATGCGGGAGAGATGAAGGAGGAGGAGGGGAGGAGGGGAGATGGGGAGACGGGTATATAAGAATGTACGGCATGGGGAATGGCTTTTTCTGCTTTTCGAAGCGTTTGAAAGACCGGGCCAAAGAGAGGGAAATTGCGTGCGCAAGAGACGGAGGGAGACCGAAGGAAGAGGGGACGCGATGGAACGTGAGGTGGGGTGGGGTGGGGTGGGGTGGGGGAGGCAAAATGCTTATGCAAAAAGCGACGGGGGGGACGTGTGCAGCATCGATGCCATCGGCTCTCTCTCTCTCTCTCATGTTCATCGGTGGTGGGGCGGTGGTGCTCCCTGCGTCCTTTGGAATCAGATTCCACGTTATTCGCACCACGCCCCGCACCGCCCCCCGCTTTTTCCCCTCCATTCCTCCGCTGCTGCTGCTGCTGCTGCGCTGCTTCCTTTCTCCTCCTCTTTGCTGCTTCTCCTTCGCGTTGGGCCCCCAAAGGGATGAAGACGACAGATCTTTCGAAATTTCGATATGTCTTTCCATTTCGCTTCCTTGTTTGTTCTATGTCTTTGCATCGATCGCACCTGGTATTTCTCTTTTTAACCCAGAATACATCTGAAAATTTCGTGTTACCTAAATATTGACACGTACATTCATTCATGTATAGTATCGACTCGAAAATTGGTTTGGTACCTTTTTAGAAAGTATATAAAACGCTGGCCATTGACTCGAATGGTTAGAGACTTTACGCTTTAAAAACACTCCAAAAAAAAAAATTGCACATAATGCTTTGACAATTAGTTTACTATCCGCATAAGATCAAATCGTTTTTAGGCGTATATATGGTGGTAAAGAGTGGGAATATATAGTGATTCGGGAGATTTATTTAAGTTCCAAACTTTAAATAGGTGAATAAAACCAGAAAGCAATTGCCAAACTTTTTTTTTCTTTTGGTCGAGTCAAATTGCCAACACTTCGGAATGGAGAGATTGACCAACTTTCACCATCAAAATCCCTTTCGAATGCACTTAATTTGCGTTGAGAAGACTGCTCTTTTAGTTGACTGGTGTGTGCGTTACGGGTGGGTCAAAAACCTGTTTCGAATTCCAATTAGCTTGGCCATCGATTCTCTTCGACCTTCCGGATTGATTCCCGAGCACATGGCAATCCACCCGAGAAAGGGACCACGCGGTTGATGAGTTATCATCAAAATTCAGTGCCACAACTCTCGATCCGTGTCTAGATAGATTTTTATTTTCAGGGATAAATGTACTGAAAGTCTTAAAACTTGATAGAAAAGTGTAATTAAATCCCAAAGCTTTCAAAAAGTGCAAGTAAGTCATAAAACTTGTCACGAAAGTGCATTTGAATCTTTAAACTTTTATTAAGTTCTAAAACTTGTCAAATTGGTCTAATCAAGTCATTCAGTTGATCGCACTTTTCGAAAATTTTAAGACTCGACTGCACTTTCGGACAATTTTAAGACTCGATTAAATTTTCTGAAAGTTTTAAAACTCAATTACATTTCATGACAAGTTTTAGAACATTTAGTGTACTTTCCCTTATTTTTATTTACTTAAATATTACGATAGACGCCCTTTGAATTCTTTTCTTTCGAAACCCTCGAAACAATTCGAGTATATAAATTTTGAAATGTAAATTCATCCGTGGTATTTTTGTAATTCTTTGAAATTTGAATGCACTTTTAAATTCTCTACTTAATCCTAAACAAAGGAGGTGTTTCGAGCGACTTTTGCCGACTAGGAATCAAATGTCCTTTATTCCGAAAAAAAGAGAAAAAATAAAGGAAAAAAAAGAGTCTAAAAATCTTTTTGATACGTGGCGACGGTCTAATCAAAGGAAGAGAATTGCCACAAACTTTACATGGGGGTGTGCCACATCCCACGTTGTAGATATCCCTCCTTTTTTAAAGTGACGAGGACAAATTCTGCTCTTTTGGATTGGATAAGAACCGTGTGCTGTATTTTCAGATTAACATCATCAATTTGGTGAGCCAAATATATAAAATAAAATAACATAAAAAATCGAAAAGATTAACGTCATCCTATGCGGCGTTGCGTGGGAAAAATCGGCGCCCGCTTCGATTTCATCGGTCCATCGTCGTCCCACCGTTCGACTAAATTTCAAACATGAGCTTGCTTGCACTTTTATGCCGATTGCCTTAAAGTTCTCAAAAATATGTTGCGGCCTTTCAATTAGCCTCGCGAGTCTTGGATTGAGATACTAGGGGCGCGAATCAAACCATTCCGTTTCCTTATTTTTTTTTTTTTTAATTTTTAGGAATAGATTTGGAACATAAATCCATTTGGTAAAATAATTTCATTTTTCTATTTCCAGGATAAAATTTTTAGCCCGGAAATAAGTTTGGAATAGAAATAAAAATTTAAAATTTTCTTATTTTTAATTTTTAAATTAAAAACAAAAATAACAATTCTCCTTTATTGCTCGCCCTCGTCACTCACCTGTTGCCACGTGGGCCATTTGCCACCGCCTGTTGGCCATCCCCCAGTGGTCAGCCATTCGCTGCCTCCCATCGTTCGCCACCGCTTGCCTGCCGCCCGCCTCCGCCTGCCCACTTAATAATTCGACTTTTATTTGACACGAAATATCTAAAACCATTTTATAAGTTCATGAAAGGGGAGAATAGCAACGAATCTCTTTCGAACGTCTTGATTACGGTGAAGGTAGAAACGTTCATCGATGGACTTTTGGCCCTCCTAATAATTACGTGCATATCATTCGCATATTTAATTACGAAATCATTTATGTATTTACGGGAAAATACCATCACGAAAGCAATCAGCACGCCGTTTCGCACTAATCAAATCAAGAAAAAGAAAAGAAGAAAGGGGGGACAAAAATTCGGCTGCTACGCCTGCCGCACGTGACGCAGGATCTGCGGGGCCCCACATCTTCCCTCGGCATCGCGATTCACGCCGTGAGGCGTCGGTGGAGATCGTCGGTTATAAATAATTGATGCCAAATATAATTTTTTTCTTTTTTATTTTTTGCTGATTGGCCCCGGCATTTTGCGGGGAGGGCATTTTTGTCATTTCATATCCCAGGGGTATTCCCTCTCGAAAAAATAGGAAAAATGGTAATCAGAGACAGGCAGGCATGTAGGACGCCAAAAAGGCCAAAAAAATAAAAATAAATATTTTTTTAAAATATTTTTTTATGGTACATGAAGGAAAAGGAATCTTTGATTAGAGAGAGGAGAGAGGGGCTTTTAACTCATTATGTAATATGGTTCTTAAATTTTTAATTTATTTAATTTTATCTCTAAACTTTAATCCCCAATGTGCAATGCGATCCCTAAATTTTTAATTTGTTCAATGTGATGTATGAATTTTTTATACATGTTGAAAGTAATCCTTGGACCAGGGATAATATTGAAAATTTTTATATGGTTCAGGGACTAGTTTGAACAAAAAAAAAGTTCCGGGACCGCATTACATATCGAGATAAAATTCAGGGATCACATTGAACAAATTAAAAGTTCGTGGGCTATATTGCACATTGAGTTAAAGTTTAGGGACTATTTGTGTCGTTATTCTTTTCAAAAACTAAAATTCGGATGGATTTTAGGGGGTTATTATGTTTTTGATGCGCAAACTTTCACCCTGAATCTTCAAATCTATATTATGATATTTTTCCATTTTGGGTGTTTAAGAAGACTCCTTAAGTATACATGATTATTCATGTTAGTTGGCTACCAAACGAGATTATCTATGACCTTACTTGTTTGGCTTCGTATTTTTTCGGATTAAACATTTTACAAACTCTAACCACAACCTTCACACAATTTAAAATGTAAGGGTGTAAACCAGATGGTTAAGTTGGGTATGGATTATGGATGGGATTTTTGGCCTAGTGCAGTTCGAATAGGCTAGGCCTGACTTTTCCAAGTCGAGTTTATAGCCTGGCTCGAAAAAAAAGAAGATAGTCAAGACCAAACTATCCAGTTCAATTCGGGCCAGCTTGAGCTAAAGCTTGGATATTTTTTTCCAAAGTATTATTAATTATTCAATGTCGAACTATTGCAAAATTAACATAAAAGTTACTTAAAAGTGATTGAACATATCTTTTAGTTCAAATGAAGTTAAGAGATCTATAAGTACAATCCAAAAAGCTTATTCAGAGCATGTTGCCATTAGGTATTTAAGGCCCTAAAATTCGATATTTTGGCATGTTTTGGGCCACTTTTTTTCCAACTTACATGGTTATTTTGATAGTTTAATCAATTGGTACACTCAGTTAAAGAACTAATAAGTATTTTCCTAATGAAAAGTATCAAATATTTTTCAAACTTATTTTAGTACAAATAGAAACATAAATAGGGCCAAGTCATTCTTCTAGTTCTGGCTCAGTTCGAAACATAAACATAAAACCCCGCCCGAATACGAATCAAAGTTTGTACAAAACACTTTAGGAATGTATTAACCTAATTATATGGGCAAACTACTAATGTAAATCATTCCGGAAGTTTAATAGAGTTAGATTGAGTGCAAACTTGCAATTTTGTGAGTAATGTGAAGTGCTTCACTTCGAATAAAAACTTGTGAAAGTCTCTAATGAGCATGGGACCAACGTTTGGTCCAAATGGTCATGGCATGTATAGTTCCCTAGCAAGAATGTCCATATTTAAGTGAATACCAAAGTAACATGATTGGACTGTAAAAAGGCATAATATCATTGCATATCTTCAACAACCATCAAATAACTCCTAATTTTATACATTAAAAAAAGAGATAATGTTCATACGAATCCCAAGTCACACAAGCACATGGAATCTTTCCTCGATTCTTATGCGCTGTCCTATCAGTACTATATATTAATATATGTATATTGGCCCACAATATAGAGAATAACACATTAAATTAGACATCACACATTAAATTAGACATCAATTATTAGAGTATCAAAGGTGACCCACTTCGACATCATTGTTTAGCGATTAATGACACATATAAGTGGCACATGCCTATTGTGTGCTATTCTAACATTTAAAAACCAAATCATACTTTATTCAAGAGCATATGTAATTTTCCACGAGCTATAATAGGCAGTGTCCTTTTCAATCTTTTTTTGTGGGCGAGAGGGATCGTATAAGGTGGTCTGAGTCCTTATCAATTTATTATTCTGTATTTAAATAAAATTTCACGGCCCATTTGTTAATAAATTCACATAATACTAATGGTGCTATCACTAAGGAATTTGGACAATAGAAAAGTTGCTAAATGAACTTAAATTGTTTGAAGTGATACTTGACCTTTATTATTTCCATCTATCTATATAAACACTCTGTTTGTTTCGCGGAAAACATTTTCCTCAATTTTTTGCGTTTGGTTCGCTTAGGAAAATGAGTCAACAGAAAACTTATGCTTAATTCAGGAAATGATTTCCTTTGTAAAAAGTTTGAAATTATTTTCCAAAATATGACTAGGTATTGGCGCTTGACTCGAAACTCTATACTTGGGCACGGAAACCTTAATGCTGGTTCTCGAGTCTCCGACATTCAGGATTAGGTCTCTGGCGCCCGAGCCTAGGCCCATTAAGGCTGTACTCGTGACCCCGGTGCCGATGCCTGGATTCCTAACACCCATGCTCGGGTCCATCAATGAGGAGCTTGAGACTCTGATGTCTATACCTGGGCCCTCGGCGCTTGCACCTGGGATCTTGGTACCCGAGCTAGGATCCCCAACGCTTGGGCCCGAGTCCACAAAGGCTGTGCTTGGGTCCATCAAGGTCGAGCCTGAGACTTAGGTGCTCATGCCCCAATCCCCAACACCAAAGTCTGGGTCCATCGAGACCAGACCCGAGACTAGACATGGCCACGGGCCGGTTTTGGCCCGGAACCGGCCCGGGTCAAACTCGGGACTGGCCCGTTGACCGGGCCCGTGGTTCGGAACCGGAACCGGCTCGTGGCCTACGGGCCCGGTTCCGGTTCCAAAAAAAAAAAAATCTCTCATTTGCCTTTTTTTCCACCTTTCCAACGCACTTTAGTCACGACCCCAGTTTCGAGAAAGCCCGATAAGGTTCAATTAATGCAGACAGAGGAAGAGAGAGAGAGACCCAGAGAAGGGGAGAGAGAGACCCATCAATCTTTTTGCGCTGTGCCCATTTGCTCCACGTTCAAGTAGAGCTCAGAGTTTGGGAGGAAAGCTCCTTGGGGACGACGGAGAAGAGAATGGCTTGCGCGAAGGAGTCGCGCGCTGCCTCAGCGGAGGGCGCGAAGGTCAAGGGAGTCCACAGTGACTCCCACCCACACCCACGCCCACCTCCTCCAGTCCTCCTCCTCCAAATCCCTCCTTCCCCCCTCTCCCTTGCGCTTCCTCCGGTCCTCCCCTTTTCTCCTTCGCTCGCCCCCCGTCTTCCCAGATATGACCCCCGCCGCTATCGCCGCCGTCGCCCCCGCCCATGGCGGCAGTCGCCGATGCCGACGGCCCCTCCTCCCCCCCTCGCTACCCTCCTCCTCCTCCCCCCTCGAACCGGAACCGGCCCGGAACCGGAATCGGAACCGGCGGTTCCTGAACCGTGGCCATGTCTACCCGAGACTCTACTGCCTGTACTCGGTTCTTCGATTACCCATATCTAAGTTACTAATGCTCGAATAGTGTGTCTATTTAGGAAAATCAAATCAAAATTTTCATATCAAACGACGAAAATATTTTTCAGCATATTTTTAGGTTTCAACCAAACATCAGAAAATATTGTCAGAAAATAATTTAGTGAAAAATATTTTTCAGAAATGTTAAATTTTCCGCAAAACAAACGGAACCTGAATATAGAGTTTGTTTTTGTTCAGAAATAAATACAATAAACCTAAAAAGTAAGAACAATCAATTTTGATAATTCTCATGAGGCGAAAGAGGGGCAAATGAAAAAAGAACCTCCCCGGGGTGTGCTCTATTCGGGGAATATACGAAAGGACGAGGACCTTTCGGCAAACAATCCTACTTTCATCTCCAAAAATTAGGGTTCGATGTCCATGTCAATCAGCTCGAGAAGCTTGCCACCAACATCGATGGCGGAATCCATTTGCAGAGCTCTCCGGGACGGCGCGTTGGAAGGCGAGCACGCGCCGGCTCTCACCATCAAGGACTCGATCGGCTCGCCGCTCGGTTCCGACGTCTTCGCCCACGTCCTCGGTCAGCTCTCCTCCCACATTTTGGCGGGAAAGTCTCAGTCAAGGTCATTCCGGTGTCCTGCTCCTGCTTCCTTTTTCTTTTTTCTTTTTTAAATTTTTGTGGCATATTTATGGCAAAACGATTTCTACTTCCTGAGTGATGAAATTGCATCTGGTGCGGCGATTTTTTGACTCTTGACGTTTTGGTTGATTTTGCCGCGGCAGAGGGCTCGTGCTGGTCGCTTTCAACCGGAGCCCATCTTTTTATGTGAATTTGCTGAAGGAAAGAGGTCTTGAAGTTAACTCGTCTCGGAAATGGTGATGCATCATCGTTTTTGAACTTGTTAAGTTTTTTTTTTTTTTTTTTGGGTTGGTTGGTTTAGTTTGATTGCGGAGATGGGATAGAAAGTAAAATCTGGAATGCCAAACTATCTGGGAGTAATTCGATTTTGGGGGATAGCATGAACAGACCTCATTGGCAGTTCAAGTACATCCCTTCAGTAGCTCGACCCGTACTGCTTTTTCTATTTTAAATTTGGTTCGGGGGTGTGTACCGTGCGGGAAATGGTGTTGATGTTGATGAATGCAGACCCCCCTGACGCTTTCTTGTAGGATTCAGATATTGGATTGTTATTCGGATCCCCATGGTTGGAAGGATCGCATTGTGGGGCGAGGAAAAGTGAATGATGTTACGAAGGAAGCTTCCGGTGTGTCCACTCTTTGTAAGGATGTGAAGGACATGGATAAGCTGTGTTCTTTAGCTGTTGAACTGGGGAAAGGTAACTTCATCAATTGCATCTGAAGCTTAGCTGCCGCTGTTTATTTGTCCCGTTTGGTGACATTGTCTCATGGATGGCCATTAATCATTGCAGGCTTGATTGGAGAAGGGAAAGGTCGTTTCTCTTTTGCATTGGACTCGGTAACAAAGTCTTTATTTTTTTCATGTAAAACATGTACTACTCCTGCTGAGAGTAATTCAAATAAAGGCCCTCATTCGTATGAACCTGTTTTTCAAGTGTTAGGGACCTAGGACTATTTTATGTCATGGTGGCACTTTTAAGGCTCACCAATGAATGCAAAAATAATGAGAAATAAATGTGGTTATCTTGTTCTAGTAAAATCATTATGGAGGACTTGTATGTTGTGAGGATGATGCTTGGAAACTTCCTATGAAGTACCCAGCAAGCAGAAGGATCGGGCAATTTGCTCTATACAACGGGTCCACTAAAAGTTGTTTGTTTTGGTGCCTAGAAGATTCTCAGAAACTTCTTATCAAGCACAATCAGAGGCCTTCTTATTTATATTATTCCCTTTCTGAAGCACACATAACCATGTGCCTATTGACAGTATTATCCTCAGGGAAGGCTGTGAAAATGAATAGCATAGTCTTGTTTCAGCTAGTAAAATTAAATGGTCATTGTTCATCACCTGCATAGAGTGATTATTTAGTTCCTTAGATTTTTAAGTTCCATGTCGTTTTCCTTGTTCAATTGAAAGCAGTTTCATTAGATTGAGCCCTTCTCGGGTAGTAGTAGTACTCTACTATACTCTTTTATCTCAAAGGACATGCGTAACAATGTTTACTTTCTTCTCTAGGTAAAGTGATCAACTGGTATAATTTATAAGTTTCAAATTATTGGTAATTGCCCTAAACTTTGATGCAATTGTTAGTCATTGTTGCGTAAGAGAAATTGCCATATTGTTTGTACTATAATTACAATGACTTATGTACTGGCAATGTTTGCGGATTAGGAGAATGTTGCATAGGAGTCCTTGGACATGCCATGTTCTGAATTGAGTGCACTGTATTTTGTTAGACCAAGTTCTATATGGGAAGCTTCCATCTTAATTGGATATATAATAGTTATGAAGATTTGTTTACACTAGATATAGACTCTACCGAGGCACTGGATCTTTCCACAGGCATCTAAGTCCCTGACCCATATTTGGAAGAAAGAGAGAATAGCTAATAATGGATTTGGAAGCATTAATTTCTGTAACCAGGGGAAAGAAGTGTTTGAGGAACGAGTGGAGATGAACAACGAACCTTGATCCACAGAAGAAACATCGATGACTGTTGGAACAAACTGATTTATGTTTTTCACCAAGCAAAAATGAGTGTTGTGTTTGAATTTCAGTGGCACAAGCTGAGCAATATCCTACAAAAGGTCTTTTTTAATTATATTTGTGATGAAATGTTCTTTCTAAATTCCTAAGAAAATGTACAATTTCAACTGGCAATAGTTATATAAACATATAATCTGTGCACCAATATTTTGGTGATCGTTGTACAAACTTTTCTTTTGCCAAACACTGTTTTCTGCCAAGTTGGATTTGAACCAGCATAGACATATTGCCAACGAATAAACTGAAGAGTAACAGCAGCAAGTGATTAACAAAAAATTATTAGTACAAATCAAAAGTGACATATAAGATGTTTGTCATAGGAGCTGGCCAGATCTTTATTCGACTCGGACAAATGCCCTGTTTATTCTGTACATATCAAGCTATTATTTCCTCTACATGCAGAAGAATTCATATTGAACCTGCAAAATATGTCAGTTTAGATTAATTTTTGAAGGTGAAAAAGTTTGTCTTACCTTCATGGAAAATTTACTTGCATTGAAATGAAATTATTGTCAACTATATGGCTTTGTTTGCTGAAAATTTATTGCCATGGGGAGAGAATAGTTTGGTCAGGATCAGTCAGTAATGATGAGTATTTGCTGTTTTAGCCACAGAAAGAACTTGCATGCCAGTATTGTCTTTTTCCAGCTGTCCATGCGATGGAATTTCATCTTTTTCTCTTATAATAGTCTATTTGGTTATCTCATCAGGTGAATGAGATGTTGAGGTATGCATCTGTACGCTCAGTTGCACGTGTTCTCAGCGACCTTCGGAGCCATGGTATGTTCACTCTCTGCACTGGCATATGCAGGAACATGTTACTTTTCTTTTTCCATTGAAGTTTCTACTTTTGAAGTCTAGTGATTGTAATATGGACAGGGAAAAAAGCTCTTTATGTAAAATTGTGTTCCTGATCCATGTCTTTGTCAGCAGGTCGCACAAGAGACTTTTTGACTTCGTGAAATTTCGGTTCTTTTAAGACATCAAATAATGTAATTATTTGTCTTGGGGTGTTAAGTAAACAAACAATCTGATATCAACTCACGTCGTCCTTGGTTGTTCCTTATTGGATGCTTTTGTTTTAAAGTACCTTTTATGGCCGCAGATCTGGCTTCCTGTGTCTTCTGGTTGTTGCACTCAGACCTTCTTGAAGACAAGGTTGCTGCTGTTTTTGATTACATGTCCTCTATGGTGGCCAGCATAGAATCTGCAATTCCAGCTTCCAATGGACTGAGGATCTCCTTGGAAAATTTATCTCTGACGGAACAGAATTTTAGAAAGGCAAAGTTTTTTGTCCGTTTTAAGCGACGGAATGGTCGTGTGCGGCTGATGGTACCTTTCTCTCTCTCTCTCTATCTAATGCATCATCCCTTGATTTGTTGTGAATGACGCTGAAAATACTGTTCGGATTACATGAATATGTGATCTAGAGTGAAGAAATTACTATTGAAAGGTCTGGCATCGCTTTTTCATCTGTTTCAACTGATGGTGGAACAATGGGTGGAAGCATTTTGCCAAAGGTTAGTTGGTTTACTTTAAGATGAGAGAACTGACTGCTTGGTTCTTGTTGAAGGTCCATTCGTGAAATGCTTGTTTTGGCAGGTGCAATTTAATCTACAACTGTCAGAGAAGGAGCAGATGGATAGAGCAAAGGTCATACTTCCATTCGAACACCAAGGTATTAATACAGTGATAGGGTTGCAATTTATGTATGATGAAGACTGATAGTATGTTTTGGGTGCCATCTCACAACTGAGCTACATTTTTTCTGAAAATTGAAGCACTTACCAGAAACCTCTGCTTTTTGTTTTAGGAAATGGAAAACCGATTGAGATATATGATGGCCGGAGATCTCTTGCGGACAAAAATAATGAGGCGGCCGGAACAATGCAGATGACAGATTCTAGCAAGGGCGAGATAATTTATCTTCGGGATTCTGATGATGAGAGACCAGATTCCGATGAGGACCCTGACGATGATTTAGATATATGATTATCTTACCTGCAATAGCACTTTTGATACTTCAGGAGCGACAACCTGGTAAGCTTTCTTTCTATGATTCTCCTTGACTCCCTACATGTTAGAGTAGGGCAATTACTGTGCGGTTTTATGCACTTGGCTTGGACTGAATAGAGATCTCTTAGCTTCCAGAAATGCTTAAAAAGAAAGCATCTCACTTCTTCAGAAAATCTACACTTTTTGTCCTTCATGATGATGTAGCTTACCCTTCTGTTTTGAGTTTTCTGCAGTACTTTGCAGTCTAGATATTGACAGAATGTGTTGAGAAGCTTTTGATTAGCTAACTGAATTGGATCTGCATACCCAAAATGGCTGTGATAAGTGATAAGCACTTTGTATGAGGGCAAGTGGGTTTTCCAAATAAAGGGCTGTTTGCATTTGGTAAAGACGTGCCGCTGGGGAATTATATTTTCTCATCAAGGATCCCACTCTAGCCTCGATATCTTCCAAACCTCCCGATCCCATCTTTGCAAGCCTTATAAATCCATATTTGTCTTTTTATGTTCAGCCCCTCGGTGATTTTTTCAGTATGGAGTCATGACTGGATTACCATTGATTGACAGTTTGTCTTCAATGCTATTGCTGCTATCATATCATCGATGTGGCCAACAATTACAGCAGTGGTGGAATATTTTGACTTCTCCAGATAGGAGGTTCTTTTGGCGGTATGGATTTTCATTGGCTCCAGAATACATCATGGAAGTCACTTGAAGTGGTAATTGAGTGTGAGTTCTTAAGAAGAGAAGATGTCATGAGAGCTTTTGTGTACAAGTGTTGGTAACTTTTAGGAAACTTAGCTTGTTTTTGTATAGAGAATCTTGGGGCTTGAACTTCATTAGATGACCATCAAAGGTCACGAAATCAAAGACTGCAGGGAGTCGGATATTAAATTCTTGGATAAGTACAACTTTGTCTATGCTTCAACGTTGTTTTGGTAGTGGAAAATGGAGATTGCCCAAGAAACTAGCCAGCAAATGGGTTGTAATGGCAAGAATATTTAGCCAACATATTGTTCTTTATTGCCATTATCTAGAAATTACTCTTTACCTCTTACTCATTATGTTAGAGCCTCTGTTCAATAAATGATCCAGCTATTTTCATGCAATCAAATCACTATGTTTGGAGTGAGAAAACCTTCCTAAGATTGTATAGTTGAACGCGATAAAGAGAAAAGCCAGACTTAAAGGCAAATTTCAGGGCAGCGGAGCAAATCAGCATCTTTGTAATGAATTGTACAATAAATTCACCATCATTGGACTTCCCGACTTTGCATGTTTGGGAAAAGTTTGGTACCTGCGTGTTTATGTTAGTGAACTTGTTTTATGTTTTACATGGATAAAATGGTGGGCAGCAGCTCTCGTGACGCTGGGAGTTGGAATGTTGGATTTTGTTCATATACGTTGGCTTGCAATGCACCACTCAGTCTTTATATGTTGGTCGATTTGCACGAGATCGACCATTTTCTTTGCACTTTCGGAAATGGAGAGATATAGCAAAAAAGAATAACCCTGGTGCGGTCCAATTCATTGAGTAACACCAACACACTGTTTGCTGCCAATACCCGAGTGTTTGGCCGCTTGACACTTATTTTAAGAGTCAAGATGCACCAAACCCGCATGAAGTGGAGTTTGGCAAGACAAAGTGCCTAGCTTAGGCTCAATTGAACCAGAGAGTAAGGCTTAGGACAGCTGAAGGGCTTAAATAGAAATAGTAAGTCTATACTGTTTTCAGAAGCGGAGGGAATTTATGATATTAACTAATGTCTTACTATCAACATGGAAAACAAATGTGGAGAAACCGGTAAACACTGATTTTTATTATCATTTTAAGTGCTTTATTTTCCTGGTTTAGTTCAGGTTGACATGGTGTGCACTATGTGCTTAGATTACTTCCTTTTCTTCATGGTTGAGCGTGGAAGATGATGGTGCTGGGATCTATCTTTATCAGCCAAAAGGTTTATAGGCAAGTGATCTCAATCCTATCACACATCTCCTAGTCTCTTCTGATCAATGAAAATACTGATACCACTTCTTAACCTCTCTGATTGTATCTGAGGGAACAAAACAATGGCTCTTGGATCGCAATTTGCACTAACTATGCGGAACCTTGATGTGTATGTTTTGAGCGAGTATCGAGTTCCAGCATCCATACCAAGGCATTTGCTCAAATAGCCAAGTGTGCAACCCTATCCATGTATGGATTGAACCCCTTTATTCCTCATGAAACACGAGAGATAAGAACTTTTACAAAAGGCTATTTTCATGCTATGGATTCCCACAAGCTAGTGAATGGAAACATTTGTAGTAGCTGGGTGGACTTCTTTAAGATTAATATTATTGTACTCATGAAAAGGTGGAATCACATCAAGAAATTTGCTTGGCCCTTCAGATGGAGAATCAGTCCATCCAAGTTTTGCCCCCCTTTATCCTCAACAGAATGTCAAGCTTATAAGTCAAGCACACGTTGTTGCGCACTTTGCTCATATTAAAACAAAATCACTCGATATAGGCAGAACTTATCAGGACAGGAAAATATGCGAAACACTAAATAAAAGTGAGAATTAGAAAAAACTGATATGGTGATTCCGAAGTTGAGATTTGATCAGATTTTGTAGTAAGCCAAAGGGGAGATCTCTATATATACACACTGATTATTTAGGACTTTAGAGCTGTGACGAGAATTGGTGAAGCCTTCAATATTCCCTCAAAGGCTTCCGATATGCCAACATATAGGTTGGAGATGTAGGAAGGTTTGGGGGAACCTTGAAGGCTTACACCATGTTTTTGAAGAAAAATGGAACCTTCAAGTGAATTGGCGAAGTCCTCGGTATTCCCTCGGAGGCTCCCAATATTCCATCAGATATATTGGAATATTGGTTGCATCTGAGGGATATCGAAGGCTTACTCCATGCAGTTAAAGGATCGTATCCCATTGAGTTTGGTCGATCATGCTGATGAAAGAACAGAGAACAACTGAATCATAAAGCGTCAACTTTCTAGAGCTGATACGTAGGTATGTTAGGCATCAATTCTAATGGCATTGCTGCATGTGCATTCTCCTTTTTAATAACTCCACGGAGAAATCTTCTCTCGAGGATTCAAGCGAGTGCTAATTGTCAACCGATCAGCAGGTATAATTTATTGTCTCTCTCTATCTCCATGTCATTTGACTTGCATCAATTCCTGGACACATTCATAATGTTACCATAGTGCATGTCCTAACTTCTAATTCTAAACGGTCTGCTTACCCTTGTTTATTCCAATGGATCATAAAGTTAAAGTTTTTGAAATCATCTGGGGATATTAGGTGATTTGTAAATTAAGAGCACTGGTTTTGTTTAAACGCGAATTTTCTTGTTTTTGGGGTCGAATGATAAACATTAGGAAACACATAATTAAAATCAGTCCACACTCCTGTTCTCCTTCTTCATAATATCTTAGATTATCCAGAGCATCGACTCTACTCAGCTTGCCCTAGGCCATCACTTATTAAGTTCATTCTTCATGCACGTGTTTCTCCTATCAGTTCATGCATTCTATGTTATACAATGAAGCCTTAGAACAATTATAAAGAATTGATCCAGAAGTCCTTTCAGTAACAACTCTTCCTTTATCATATTCCTAACCGATTTGAGGCCTATGATATATGCAGTCCACACAAGTGCTCGTGTGCTGAATTTCAGCCCTAATGAAAGGAACAAGCAAGAACCTCAAAGAATAAGTGCTGCTTTGTACGCAATAACCCTTCAATAAAACTAACATATACAAATTAGAAAGGTCAAGAGCTTCAGATACAAACTAGTCCTTCAGAAATGAGAAATCAGATTAAATGGCTAGACCAGATAAAGAGAGTTCTGCAATTTTTGTGAATCATACCGAGAAAAAGACACTATTCCTACCGAATGAAATGCATAGGAAGCTGATGTTTCGGAAAAAATATGAAGTCAATCTCCTCGAACCTGCAGGACCTGCACAAGCAGTTGATCTTTCCGCTTCCACCCTCCGGCTGATTATCTGTTGTTTATCATACGTGGACACTCCTGGACAACCTCTCTCAGAATTATCATTCTTGTCATTCTCACCTATCGTCGGTGCATCCTTTGATGGTCCTCTGGAAGCAAAGGGCTGATCTGATGTCCCTTCATGTGTTATCGGGTGAGATAAGGTCAGATACTAGTCATGCGATATTTCTCTACCTTCTCCTTCATCTCAATCCCTTTCTAAATCAACGTTGATCCCTGTACGTACTTTCCCCATGACGAGTCCAATATCTGTAAGATGTATCGATTGCCCTATCAAGTAGATGGTTTTGCATTCCAAAAAGAGTTGGCCAATAAAAATTCCTACTGTGGTGGCATGGACAACGAATTTTCCCCTCATTCCTTATGTGATTTCTAACGATCTTGATGAGCGGATTCACACCCGCAGTATACTCAGGAGAAAACCTATCCCCCACCGACATCTTTCTCCTATCCATTCCTACCTTTATGCACAATCATCAACAAACTTACTAGAATTCATCTCAAGTAATTCTTGTACTAAAATTGTCACCTTCCTAAAGAGTGGGGGTTCTATCCCATTCAGAACCACACAAAAATTTGTATTGTCGCTCACTTCTTTCATTTTCAAGTAATTTTGACAGCATTTCACTTGAGTTGAAAATGTCATAGCAGGGTTGCTGTTAAAAGACAACCGTACTCCATATCAATGTAAATTACCGCCGGATTCCCAAACAGTCCGATGAGGACAATTCAGAAGCAGTATGTAAAATCGAGTACCGTTGTGCTTATTAAAAAACAAACATGGCTACCACAAGTTTCGTAAGCCATCTTTAAGCAGAATTCTACGGTTTAAATGTATTGATTTGATAAGCATGCAAATGATTAACAATCAAATATTTTTCATCTCATGCAAACATTGCGTATCTCGCTAGTTCATATTCTATACTAAGTAGGAAGCAAACACAACAAATTTATGGAACAAAAGTGTACCTCAAGTTGGGTTTAAATAAGTTATCAACCAACGTAAACTACTACTAGTACTAGTATAAACAAATAAAATAGATAGAACAAGAAAATATATCGAACACAAAATTTACATGGTTCGATTATAGTGACCTACGTTCACACAGGGAGAGGAGTAACGAATTCCATTGTTAATCAAGTGATATAATGGATATTACAACCACACTCAAGTTATTCAAATACTTTAAGTGTTTCTTAAGCCTCAATTACACTCAATAAATCAAACAATGTTTAGCCCCCACAATTCCTCAAGAAATAATCTCACGAAGAAATTAGCAAATCTTACTCACAATATTTAATTGGTTTCAACACTAAAAAGCTCTCTAAGAGTGTAATTCATAAGTAGATGATCCTCTTTGATACTCTTCATAAGGAACATCGACTTTTTACATATAGGCAATAATTGGATTCAAATTAGGAAACCTCTTGTTAGAAAACCTTCTCCAACTAGAAAACATTTTCATACTAAAAAACCATTCAAAATAGGAAACCTAGTTGAATCAACTTTGATTTCCTAGCTTAATGGTCAAAGATACATAACTAGGATGTTCGATGTATCTACACACACCCAAAAAATAAAGGGTCAAAAGAGTCGAGCCATCAATGTGATGCAAGAATACATTCTTCACGTGAAACAAAATCGTGTTTCATATAAAACACAGCGAATTGGTCTTCGAGCTCTCCCCCATATCAACAAGAATTGAATGCAACTTGACAAACCTAAAGAGAAGTAGATGATAACGATTGATATATGTCAAACATGATCAGTTTTTTTTTGGTCAGAAAAACATGATTAGTTTTTTTTCCGAAAAAAAAAAAATATGATCACTTGTATAGGTCAAAATGCTACCTGCATTTGGTGAATTAATGGCATATGATAATTATGCATCCTCTATCTCAGCCATGACACTAAAGAAATCTGATAGAGAAGCACTTTATGCTTATGAAAAAGCGGTCAGCTGCCATTTTGGCTCATTTTATGTAATATCTGAAGATAAGACGACAAGTCTAAGATACACGGCCCCGCAAA